CTGTCCCCCTTCCCCACAAAAAAAATCTTCCCACATACCTAGTATTGGAAACAGAACTGGCAAAGACAGAAGCAGCAATTCAGAAGCTAATGATGAGGTTTGGATGCCCGTAGAATATAACGAAGGTGACAACTCAAGTGACAGAAGGGTGCATTGCCAGTAAAAGCTACCCATGAGTGACACTGGATGCTTGATAAATATTTATGGTAAAAATGAAATAAGCCCAAATTTCTGGTGAATCAAATGATTTCAGAAAATGAAAACACAATAAGCATATTTAGATAGACTGTATGAATATTGGCATAGCTTGGGTAAGGGATATTTTTCTAAGTGTAATTACCTTGTCAAAACCATGAAGGGTTATGTCCATAGCTGGAGCTCCTTTTAAAAAAAAAATCTCAAAATGTGCATTTAAAAAATTCTAAATACATAGGGCTGGAGAGATGGTTCAGTAGCTAAGAGCACTGGCTGCTCTTGCAGAGGACCCTGGTTCAGTTCCAAGCACCCACATGGAGACTAACAACTGTCCGTAACTCCAATTCTAGGGGATCTGACACGCTCTTCTGGCCTCCTCAGTCACTGCATGTACCTGGCACACTTACATACATGTAGGCAAAGCACCCATACACATAAAATAACAATAAATAAGTGGGTTTTTAAAAATTCTAAACACAGAATTGATTTTAACCACATGATCAGACTCAGCATTGCCCATGACAGAAGACATTGATGTCTTGGGTCCTCCAGTGATGGGCTGTCCAGCAAGGTGTTCCCCAAAGTCATGCTCCCCAACAGAATGCTCCTGTGGATTCTCCTCTGTTGTTGGCAGTCCTGTCTGGTATAGAACAAGAAGTGATTTTTGTTGCTTTTTTAAAAATCTGTTTTCTAGCTTTTCTACTAGAATCATGAATTCTTTCTTTATAACAAAGTCCTAGATCCTCTGCTTCAGGACCCAACTTCAGGAAGTAGGGGCCTCACCACCTCCTCACCTCCAGCTCCTTGTGGTCCACCCACCATCCTCAAAGCCATGGAAGACTTTCTGACAAAGATTCTTAGTTTCACCAAAGTTTAAGACATTCCAGAACCTTCTCTTAGACCCATCTGTGTAGCTCCCTGTAAGTCCTTGCTCGGTCAGCATAGCAAGAGGCTCACCCTCCATGTCTGATCACTCTCTACGTCTGATGAGGTTCCTTATCTTCTGCCCTGTGTCTGCTTAAAAAGACTCTTGTTGAGTCAGTTCAGCCAGACTCCTCCTTACTCCTGACATTTCTTCTTAACTGTTTTCTGTCCATGGCCCGCACTAGGCTCAGGCTCCTTGGCTCTAAATCCCAACTTGCCATACTGTGTTTAACACTGAGTCACACACACCCTTGCCCATTCTATCCTCTATTCTAGTCTGTCTATCCACCACTGCTGAGTCCTGAATGAAATCTGTTTTTACTGACGTCTATCCTGTCTGGCTTTCTCTGACACCTGCTTATCCTCTGAGTCATTCAGCAATATTCAGCATGGCTGATCGTGTCTGCCCCCTTCTGTAAACATGCTTTTCCCATTGTTCCTGTGATTCCATCTTTCCTTCTTCATAATGAAATGTGAACTCTTTTGGATAGCCCATGAGACCCTCCTAGTGCAAGGCTGATGGCCTTGACTTACTCCTCTAAGTGACTCACCATGCCCTCCTGTCTACTTCCGAAGCATGCCCTGGCTCTCTTGGGGCACCATGGATTTGTACCTACCACTGCTAGAACACACTTTGTCTCTTCTCTTTCTCTTCTTCAATCTCTGCCACCTCCCAGGGAGTAATTTTTAATATTAGATATCATATAACTACTATACCTATAAGGAATCCACTGGAGGAAACCCCACTTAGTAAGACTTAGACACTACCACAAGAAGTCTGGAGAAAGGGTTCAGGGCTGGTACAGCAGTTCACGTTCCATTGGATCTCAAGAGTAAAGACCTCCTCCTACAATCTGAGTGTCTCTGACCTAAGGTACTGCCCTGGAGGCCTGCTACTCCCAGATGCCCTCTGGTGGAGATGCACTTCAAGTAGTCCTCCCAGGGTGGGGTGGGAGAGAGGAAAGTCTTGTGCAATGTGGTTTGTGTTACCACCACCTCAGCCATGGAGGCAAGCAGGAAGCAGAGAATATCAGATTTAGATCCCACATTCCAAGCATTGTACAAAATTATACACTGGAGCCTGAGGGACCCACAGAGGCAGAAAACGGAATTGCTATCAGGGAATCAGGTCATTTTCAGGGGATGCCAGTGGTAGACTTTTGGCAGGCACCAGGTGTGCTGAGTTCCCTGTAGTGCACAGGACAAGCCCAGGGCAAGCGGGAGGCCAGCTCATTTGCCCATATGGCACTGGTGGCAGGCATGCTAGCAACCAGGCTCTGTTGGGATGGGAAGCCCACCATTGGCTCTGCTTTTCCAGTCTCTCCCAAAGCTATCTCTCCAGGGACTCATGAGATGGAAGGGTCCTCACCCAGAGCCTCAGCTTTAACAGTCTCCTTTCTACCCAGCACCCCACTCTGAGTGTCCAGAGTCCCCAGGTCCCAAGCCATAGACCCAATGGTGTCCACATCTCAGGTCCTGAAAGATCTCTTCTCCAAAATGAACTCATCATTTTAGCACAGCAGGACTTCTCTCAGTGCCTACCCACAGAGGATACTGTTCAGACACTCACAGGAGACACTGTCCAGCCAGTTCCAGGAGACAAACCATAGCAGCATCTTTAAAAAAATTTTTTTCATTTTATTTTTGAGATAAGGTCTCATGTATCCCAGGCTGGCCTAGCCTCAAACTCCCTGTGGAATGGAAGATAACTTTGAATTTCTGATTCCCCTGCTTCCAGCCTCCTGAATGCTGGGATTGCAGGCATGTACCACCATGCTGGGTCTATGTGTTCCTGGACATGGAATCCAGGCCTTCATGAATACTAGGCCAAGCTCTCTGCCAACTAAGGCACATATCTGGCCCCATAGCAGCATCTTAACTCCTCTGGCTGTGTTCATGTAATTCCCCATCTCACGGGGTTCTCAAACCTGCCCCCCTATTCTACACCTGGGTGGCCTTCACTTTAGGCTATACCACCATTGTCCCTAGCTGGATTGCTCTGCAGTTCTGCACATCTTCCTGCCACTGTCCTCAGCTTCACTGGTCAGGCCATTCCTTATGCACAGCTCCTTGATGGCTGGTATTGGCCTCTGGGTCAGTACAGAGCACCAAGTACCGTATACCTGGCCCTGCTTGGCTCTTCTTATTATTATTATTCCTGAGTCTATCCTTGTCTCTGGAGCTTCTACACAATGTTCCTCTTACTCCAGTCCCCCGATTCTTCTTTCTCCAGGACTTTGCTCCTTACAAAGCCCTTTCTGATTCTACTGCTATCTGCAAGGGGAGGGAAGACGAGGGGAGGGGATAAGTGGAAAGAGAAGGGAAAGAGGGGATGGAATAGGAGGTAAAGGAAGGGGAGGGGAGGCTGCATTAAAATCTCTATTTGGGGGCTTTTGGGATGGTTCAGTGGGTAAAAGCAGCTTCCACACAAGCCTGATGACCTGAGTGTGTTCCTCCCTCCCCAGGAATCCACGGTAGTGCAGGAAAAGAAACAACTCCAACAGTTGTCCTCTGACTGCCACACATGCCATGGCAATCGCACCCCTACACACACACACACACACACACACACACACACACACACACATAATAATAATAAATAAAATTTAGATTAAAAATCTCTATTATTGTCATCTTGTCACAAGACAAATCACAAACACTGCCAATGAGGCACATGAATGTAAGCATTTATTCAGAACACAAATTTTGAAAAGTCACCTTCCAAACTCTTTATTACTGTGGAATTTCCTCACTGGAGCATAAGGAATAATGATTGGGGTGGGGGCAGCCTGGGGAACATTGCTGCAGAGCTGTCAGGATAGCTAAGCAGCTAAAAGCATTTGCCACGCAAGCCTGATGACCTGAGTTCCATCCCTATAACCCACATCAACACGGAAGGAGAGAACCAACTCCACAGAGTTGTCCTCTGACCTCCACATGGGTGCTGTGGTATACACACACACACACACACACACACACACACACACACGAGTGCACACACTATCAATAATAATAAAGCTGACAATGAGAAGCTTGATAGAACCCTAGGTGATTCTAGTGTGGCCCAGCATCTGTGACTCTGTCATGGGGCTGTTCGTGTGCAGAGCAATGGGACAGGGGCTGCAGTTTGTACCTGTCATCTGGCCCTGGTTTCAGACCCAGCCATTCTCTCTTAGGCCACTCCTAGGAGTCAGCCAATGGCAGGTAACACCACATCTAATTCTCATCAGGTGGAGAGATGAGTCTGCTTCCAGTGAGTCCATTCAGCAGGCCACATGCCCAGGAAAACACCCAAGACCTCCTCGTTGCCATCAGAAGCAAGCCAGACAAAAGGCCACTTTTCAGGCTGTCATCCACCAGGAAGTGGCTCCTGGAAGCTCCTCTGTGGCAGAGTGCCTGCCAGGTGGCAGAGAGGGCAGTGGAAAGGACAGGCAATCTCAGGGAGAGGATGGGGAAGGGAGGCTGGAGGCCCTAGCACCTGACGTTGGGGATTGTTGTCTTCACTGAGCACCCCCCGCCCCAGGCCGCCCAGTCCAAAGGGCCAGAAACCAAGTGTGGAAGATACTTGTTGACTGACTGATGGACTGCATAAAGGAAAAGTCCCTCCGTGAGAGCGGAGAGTACTTTTGCAACTAGCCACAGGAGAGAAGTTTGAGGACTAGCGACAGGACCGGCAGAGTCCTGTCCCTTTAGCGGCTAAGCATTTAGATAACCCAAGTACTTTCACTAAGTGGCCCTGGGTACCTGAGAGGGCAGTGCAGCACATCCCTCACTGCCTGCGGCCATCGAGTCTGTGCTGTGCTGGCCGCGGCCGCCAGGGGGCGGGCAGGGCCGGGGCGGCGGGAAGGCGGTGAGAAGCCGGAGCGGGGCGGGGCGGGGACGCGAGGACGCCGGCGCTGCCCAGTCCCGTGACCGGCCCGCCGCCCGCCGCCCGCCGCCCGCCGACATGCAGTCCCCAGCGGTGCTCGTCACCTCCAGGTGAGCCCGACCCCGGCCCGTGCGTCCCAGCACCCCTGAGCGCTCGTGGGTTATCCAGCTGCAGCCCACCACGGAGGGAGTGGCGGCGCGCCTCCAGAGTCCGGGTTCTACCGAGGAGGAAACTGAGGCCCTCTAGAGGATAAAGAATTCACCCAAGACCCAACAGAAGGACTGGGACTAGCGAGTGGGGATCATTTTTTCCAGTCCCCTAAACCTTTCAGCGCTTGCTCTGCTCTGTGGGTGTCAGGCCGATTCTAGGCACCAGGGACGAGATGAATCAAACAGGCTTGCCCTGCAAGGGATACCTGGGCCTGGGTGGCTGTTGCTTTAGAGGTGGGGGCCAGTAAGTTCCTGTTGCCTTGGGTTCCTGCAGATGCGTGAATGCTAACCTGGTAGGGCCCCTGTCTCTGGAGGGAGCTTAGACATTACAGCAAAGGGGTCAGAGCAGAGGACGCAGGGTGCATCCACACAGGGCCACGCCTGAGGGACCCATCAGGGGCTAGAGCCTGGATTGGCTGGGAGGGGCTTGGTCTTACTCTTTCCCCTTGTTGTAAGTAACCCTAACGTGATGCGTGTCTAGGACATTCATATCCTCCACTTTTGTTCCCCCTACACAAAATCTGGCTGAGATATCAGTTATCCTATAAATGAATGTGTTTCCCAACCATAGTTTTAAACTTTCAGCTGTACTCTGAACTTTCTGAGACTTCAGGTCTAGAAAAGTCTGTTTACATAAACCCTGATGTTGGAAGCTGCTTCTCCTTGGCATGGTGACCAAGGCTGCAGGCCATATCTGCATTGGCAGAAGAGATGCCCTACTGCCCTGTGAGTTGCTTCCTCTCCCGGACCTTCAGTTTCCCTTTCTGTAGGTGGAGGTTCCACAGCAGGTATGAGCACTTGAGCAGCCAGCACCTCTGTCGTTGCACCAAGCAGACCGTGGCTGTGACTTTGGTGCTGGTGCCTAGGAAGGGGAATGTGGCTTCCCAACGTCCAACATGCATGTGGGGTTAACAGGATAGAGTGCTGCTGCTGGTGAGCATAGGGGAGTTGTACCCTCTCATTCTTGCTGATAGTCAAGGCAGACCCAGGGAGCTTGCCTGCAAAGAACAGGAACACCTTTGCAAGGGTTGTGCATTCTTCCAACCAGCAGGTGTATTGTCCGGTGCCTCTTGTGTGTCAGGTACTGATCCAAGTTCTAGGATACAATGGTCGAAGCTTTGGTGGGAACAGGTGAGCAGTAGGTAAACACAGGCTATGTCAGGGACAGTAAATACAGAGAAGAAAAATAAAGTGATAGGGAGGTCAAGTGATAGGAGTGCTATTTTATTCGGTGTGGTCAAGAGCATCTTTCTGATAGACTGACTGGCAGCTGAACAGGCTCTTGAGAAGCTCCCTAAGGGAAAAAAAAAATGGAAAAGAAATTTTGAGGGGACTGGAAAGATGGCTCAGCAGTTAAGAGCACTGACTGCTCTTACAGAGACAGTAAATACAGAGAAGAAAAATAAAGTGATAGGGAGGTCAAGTGATAGGAGTGCTATTTTATTCGGTGTGGTCAAGAGCATCTTTCTGATAGACTGACTGGCAGCTGAACAGGCTCTTGAGAAGCTCCCTAAGGGAAAAAAAAAAATGGAAAAGAAATTTTGAGGGGACTGGAGAGATGGCTCAGCAGTTAAGAGCACTGACTGCTCTTACAGAGAATCCAGGTTTGGTTCCCAGCACCCACATGGTATATAATGTAACTCCAGTTCCAGGGGATCTGACACCCTCTTCTGGCTTCCACAGGCATTGCATGGCACTGGTGCACTTACATATATGTAGGCAAAACACTCATGCACATAAAATAAATTTTAAAAGAAATCTTGAAAAAGGTACTAAGCAGAGAATACAGCAGGATCCACTGTCCTAAGGCCAGTGTGGCTGGAGTGCTAAGTGTCCCCAGAGAAGGGGACAAGCAAGGAAGGCCACGGGCTTTCATTTTGAGTATATTGGGAAACATAGAGCGGCCACGTGCGTAGGTTTACAGAGACCCTCTGGCTTCTGTTCCTCAGGCACTGGCTGGAATCCATGTGGAGCAGCAGTGGATTGACAGCCTGGTGGAAAGAGGGGCTGAGGTATTTAGGTGCTGGATGTATTTTGAACGATGAACTTTCAGGTTTGCTGATAGGTTGGGTGCTGTGAGAAAGGGGGCATGGAGACCAGCTGTGGGGCTAATGTCCTGAGCTTGCATCCTGGGATGGGCAGGCCTTCTGGGGAACAGGTGGGGCAGGGGAATCAGCATTTGTTCAGGCAGGTTAATTTTAAGGCATGGTTTACAGTCAAATGGAGATTGTGGCTAGGTAACTAGAGGTGGACTGGCCTGGAAAGAAGAGACTGGACTACAGGTAGGAATTGGGGAACCATTGGCCCAGAATGGTATATAATGCTTTGAGCCTGGGGAGGGTGCTGTGAGCCAGATCAGGGTGAACAGTGGGAATGAAGTGAGGCTTCATCTTTGCATTTAACACCATGAGGTCCTGAGTGACCTAGACATGGGTAGTTAGTTACATAATAACTAACGACAAGCCAGTTGGAATGGGTTCAAAGTCAAACAGGAGGAGAGGGACTGGAGACATGAATCTAGACCATTCTTTTAAGCTCTGCTGAAAAGCAGAGGAGAGGAGCAGAGAAAGGAGGAAGTCTTGTCACAGGACAGCTTTAGTTACAGAAGAATGTGGTTGCCTGCTGATGAGAATGACCCAGAAAGAAAAGAGCACTGGGGGTGCAAAGGAGAGCGGAGTTCAGGCAGGAAGTGCCTGAGAGCCAAGGGCAGCCGGGATCCACTGCTGCAGCCCCAGGAGTTGGGCAGCTGGTGAGGGGGGTGGGGCTCATTGGTGAGTGTGCCAAGAGACTACTCCCGGTGATTCCGACTGGAATAGGAAGCATGCTGGGGTTTGCAGAGGGAGGATTTCGGTCTTGCTGAGGTGGGGCCAGGTAGGCTCATTTCCTGATGAAGGGAAATTTAGGCCCTGTGTCTCACTGAGGGGGGGATTTAGGCCCCCGAGTCTTCTCAATGGCTGGTCCCTGGATCATCACAGAACAGCATTAGCCATAGGTGGAGTTTCCCGTGAATCAAAATCTATATGTTACTAGGATCCCCAATGGACTGGTAGCCACATTGCAGTTTGAGCAGCTTGGTTTAGGACACAGATAGGCACACTATGCCTGTGAGCCAAATCCTGCCCACCACTCCTTTTTTGATCCCAGTTGTATGGGAACACATCCCAGTTGTGTAGATATTGCTCATAGCTGCTTCCTTTCATGCCTGAAGGCAGTTGAGCAATTGCAACTCAGATAAAATAGCATGTGAAGCCTAAAATACTTACGGTCTGACTGTTTACAGAAAGTTTTCCAGGGAGAGAAGGCAGTGGAGAAAGCTCAGGTTCATTGGAGTCGTGAAGGGCTTGTTAACAGGAACATTGCTGTGTCCCCCTTGGCTTCTGATTCAGTAACCTGCTTGTGTCTTTCCCTAAAGTTCCCAAGTAATGTTTATCCTGGTCCAGGGCTTACACTTTGAGAACCCCATGTCTAGGGTAAGGTAATGTTGCCAGGCCTGCTACTTAGGCCTGAACTTAGTGGCCACGTATTTCAGGGTGAGACAAGGTGGCATATTTGTGCGAGTCCAGCAGGCAAAGGTGGCAAGGAACTGCAAAAGTGGGCCTTTGTAAGGCAGCCCAGCCGTAGGCGTGAGTACAGAGGACCCAAGCCTGAGATGTAGGCATTCCTGTTGTACAGTGGACCCAGTTGGTGAGGCAGACACCACAGAGGGGAGGTTGAGGTATGGAGTTCAGTTTTCAGTGTGCTCAGATGTAGGATACCTCCAGGAAACTGTGTCTGTGGAAGGTTCCATTTGGGGATTCATGGTCCCCTCCCACCTTTCTACCACTTACGGTGGACAGCTGTTCATGTTGTCACTTCCAGCTGTTCATGTTGTCACCTCTGCTTTGTTTCTGCAATGTTCCCAGAGAAAAGATGCCACGTGTCTTTTTTGCTGCATCGTGGTGTTCCCTGGAGCAACTAAGAGCGAAGTCAAGGCACTCACTCCCCTTCAAGGCCTCTGTTCCTGTCTTACAGGCAGCTCTGAGCAGTTGGAGTGATTCACACATTCTACCTGCTTCGGAGTGCCAGCTGCTTCCCACACCTTAGCCTCTGATCTCATTTGTCCACATGGTCTTTACTCAGCTTCAGACAGAGAACAGAGTCATTTGGCCGCTGGTAAAGGAGTAGGCCAGCTTATATCTCATCTTCCTTGTGTGTCTGCTCTCCCCGTGACACGTCCTAGAAGCAGGTCAGCTTGGGCCTGCGGGAAGAATTGGTGCTCAGTGGCTTACCTCACATAGGGCAAGACTGTTCTTCATATGTACAGATCTGTGCAGTCACTGGGCATGCACACACACACACACACACACACACACACACACACGCTCTGCATATCCTTGTGGTAGGCTGCTCCAGCATGACAGCTACCTTTTGTGAGTGGCAAGGTTGGCTTGCTAGTATGGGGATGTGAGGGATCCAACTGGAAGGACTTCTAGGGGCAGTCATTTGATGGATCCATTGTAACTACAGAGAGGAAAGGACAAGGCCAGTAAGTTTAAGCTCCAAGAACCCCTTCCAGACCCACTTCAAACCTGCGCTCTGAAGGGCAAAGTATGGCAGGCCTTACTGCAGATAAGAGCCCAGTGCATCCTGGTAGACGTGTGTGCATGAGGAAGGTTTGTCTGCATAGCCTGCAGCACACCTTATGTGGAATGCACCTATGTCTTCTTCCAGCCCCTGCTTCTTGAGTAGCCTTAAAAGCTTGCTATGGACTCTGGTGGGCATCCACAGCTCTCCAAGAGCAATAGGTTAGCTCCTGCATGCTCACAGCCTGGAGAGGATGTTCACAGGGTACCTGGCAGGGTGTCTGTCCTCTGGGGTGCCCAGAAGAGGAAGCCACTGTTTGCCTGCCACCTTGGACGTCACTCTAGTTCCTCAGCTGGCATGACTCTGGCCACTCCCCTGCTTTCTCTCTCACTATGGAGGTGTATGTCTGTCCAGATTCCCTGGGGGGCCTCAGTCCTCTCTCCTCACAGACCCAGGCACCTCCCTTAGTCTACACAGAACTCCCAGAAAGTAAGGACAGATTTGGCAAGGACACAGCAGAATGACTCAGTCCCACCTCGGCCCCACTGACCTCCTGCCTGCATTTCTCTGGACAGGCCTGCTGACTTGAACCTGAACTTCACTTGCTTCTTTCCCTTTGCAGGCAAGTTCAGAATGTCCACACGGGCCTTGACTTGACTGTGCCACAGCACCAAGAAGTGCGGGGCAAGATGATGTCTGGCCATGTGGAGTACCAGATCCTGGTGGTGACCCGGCTGGCTGCCTTCAAGTCAGCCAAACACAGGCCTGACGATGTCGTCCAGTTCTTGGTGAGCAGGGGACCCTAGCCACGATGCTCTGAGGGTGCCCAGGCAGGTATGTCTGCCCCCCCAGGGCGTGGGTAGCATCACAGTGCAGGCAGTTCTCTATCCTACACTCACACAGGGTCTGGGGTGCTGAACTGTGTGAGATGACAGGAACACCAGAGTAGATCCATGCTTACAGTCCACAGGGAGGCAGACCTGTAAAGAGACAGATACAGATGGTGACAGGAACTCACGGGGTACTGGAAATGTGGAGGACTGGGAATGTGAAGGAGGGGCAGCCTAATAGACCCTTGGGGGAAGATTCTGGAAAATTCTTGGACAAGGTGAGGTCAGAGCAGTGTTTTTAAAGAATAGGTAATGTTAAGCAGCAGGAAAGGAGGGAAGGGTATCCCAGGAAGAAGGCACAGACGCTGCTAAGGGGCTGTTATGTGGGAGCCTCTGAGCAGTTGAGAATGGTCCTGGGATGATGTGGAAGGAGATAAGGGGAGAAGACATTCAGGACAGGTTGTGCCTGGACTTGGCTTACATTCAGGTAGTTTTAAGCAGGGAAGTGACAGTCCTATTTGCCTTTAACCAGAGAATCAGTGGCAGCATGATGTTGGAATAAGAAGGGACAGGGAGCCTGGTTTGGAGGACAGTTGAGGAAGAGTCTTGCAGTCAAGGCAGAAGGACAAAAACTAGGTGTCTATGAAGTCACAGACATCTGATGACCAGGAAAGATAGGTTACAGGATCTTAGAATAAGGTAAACTTAACTAGAGTCCTCTAGTGTGTGAGGGAGCGACCTGCTGCAGGTTCACAGCCAGGTTGGTTCAGTGTGCCTGGAAGCCAAGGCAAAAGGAAAATGGTGGATTGCATAGCTCTGTGACAGCAAGAGACCACATTTTATATGCGTGTCATGAATCTTCCTTTAAGGGAAATTCAGCAACAGTGCTGTCTTTCATGGCTGCTTTTTTCCCCAACTTGGTCTAGGTGGAATGTGAGCCTAATGATCTGACTCCTAATGATCTGAGTTGGCCCAGGCTGGAGCTCAGTGCACCCATGTCTTCAGGGACAGGAGCAGAAAAGGAAAGCGATGTTGTGGGCATCAGGAAGAGGCAGCATTCTGGAAGCCCTTGGGGAGCTCCAGAACAGCTGTGCAAAGGGCTGGATGTCCCTGCAGGGCATATCAAAGGTCACCTGTAACACTTCCACATGCCACACCAGTGCCACTTTGTAAACAGTCATGTCAGACCCTGTGGGACATGCAGGCATGTGTGCCTGACACACACCAGTGCTTCTCAGACCTCGAAGTACCTCGAGAGCAAAGGAACACCTATCTCCACCCCCATAATATCGGGGTATATCCAGAAGTTGCGCCCCCAGGTCTGAATTCATGATTTAGTTAAAAGAATTAAAGAGTGTTTTGTTATCTATTCCTTAAAAGGATACTACTTTTTATATAAGTATGCATTTAGTTGCTAACCATGAGATAAAGCCAGCGCCTAGGAAGGACCACTGTATCCAAGGTTTAGTAGATGCCCTTTGTGTGCTTGTTACACAGGTATGCACATATATCAGAGTTCAACAGGGCAGCTTTACTGCCTGCCCAGCACTTAGCACTGCCTGCCACACAGGGGCACTAGGTAATTCTAAGTTTCCACCTTAGCTCCCTGTTGCTCTTGTCATGTTTTCTGGCAGCTTCCTGATGCTCTGACTGGAATACGGATGGATATGAGCTCTATATAGTGCAGGAGCTCAGACTAGAAGCTTTCTGCCTGCTCATGCTGCCTGGGTTGTGAATCTGTAGGCTGAGCTTGCATGGAGCAATTGGACCAGCAGGGGGTGTTCGCCTTCCTCTGTGGTCTGTTCTTTCAGGCTGGCTGGAGCTGCCAGATCCTCAGGACAACACTGGAGGGAGCCAGGCTCTTGTGCTCAACTATCCCAGATGACTGACTCCCCATTTGGGGGATTTTGAAGCCCCCAGCCACTTCCTGGTGTCTAGGACCCTGAAAATGTTTGTGCTGGGTGGTATGCTAGTTAGCGAGATAAGGGCTACACCCCATCAAGGGATCACCAGCAAGAGTATACAGTATGTAAACCAGTGAACATTTGGCTGTGGGGAGATCCAGAGCTTGATGGAAAAGGAGGGAAGGGAGGAGGTAGAGGGAGTAGCCTGTGACCATACAGGAAGCAAATGCTGCTTTCAGGGATGGGGTGGGGGCACCTGGAACCACCGTGTGGCAGCAGCAGGAACTGTGGCCTACTTTTCCGAGGTTCCCACTCACTGAGGGCTCCTCCTGACAACAGAGCCAGTACCAGGCTCTGCCACATGTCAGGACAGGCCCCACTGGAAGGCCGATTCATGGCAGAGAATGATCAAGACATCTGTGCTGAGAAAAGATGACTCATACTGCTGAAAAATATCCCAGCACCTGCCAGGTGCTGAGATCACTGTGCTAGGGCATAGAAGTGGTGACTGCAGGCATCTGCAGACCAGGCTCAGGTCCCCTTCTCAAATGGCTTAACACCAACCTGCAACAGTGCCTGAGTTCACACCATTTTTGCATCTTTCCTTTGGGCCTCTGAGACTTTTCGAGGGGGTGGGGTAGGGCTGGGAGGTGGGCGGAAGTTGGCACAGGCGCCTGCCTACCCCAGGCCCACTCTGATTAGAGTAAGAAAGCATCACCCCCTTGTTTCTTCACTCCGGAAACTGCATGCTCCTCTCATTCCAGGTTTCCAAAAAGTACAGCGAGATTGAGGAGTTTTACCAGAAACTGAGCAGTCGTTACCCAGCAGCCAGCCTGCCTCCACTGCCTAGGAAGGTCCTGTTTGTCGGAGAGTCTGACATCCGGGAAAGGACAACTATGTTCAATGAGATTCTACGCTGTGTCTCCAAGGATGCCCAGTTGGCAGGCAGCCCAGAGCTACAGGAATTCTTAGGTACCTAAGGCTCTTGTTCACATACCCAAGGCTTTGACCCACCTCCCTGAGATCTCCCCAGCCCAGAATTCACCACCCTGGCTCAGTGGGAGGAGGCCCACTGCTGCCCTCCATATCCTGGAAATTTGACCAGGCTGTTGAGGCAGATGGGCCTCAGAGATCTCTTGTGCTGGATGATAAGCAGGAAAGCTCAGTCTTCAAGGGACTAACCAATCTGGGTGCCAGCCAGATATTCCCCATAGTGTGACCTCACCACAGCCTTCCTGGCCAGCCCCATTCTACAGCTCCCATCACTCACACACTTAGGTACATGCAAGTGTCTCTGCCTCCTGCCAACCAGACCTTGCAGCCTGTAATGTCCAGGGAACACAGTGCTTCCACAGCCAGCCTACTGGCCAGGTCCATTGAGGTACTGCACCCAGCCCACCCAACACCCTCACACCCAGCAATGGGAACCTCAAGCCCTTCTGTGCAGTGTCTAGGTCTCTCCCTCGCTCCCTCTCTCCCTCTCTCTTTCTATCCAGTGTTTTCATCTCTAAGATGGAGAAGTACTTTGCAGATAGGAGATCGGGGGAGTTGTGTGAAGTGCTTCAAGCCGAGCCTACTATCTAGAGGATGCTGATTAAAAGGAACCCCCTCCAATACTCCCTATCTACTTACATCCCGCAGGTGCCTTGCTGCCTCTTCAAATCAGTCATTTTAGTTCCTTTCTGACTTCTCTGGATCCCCATTTGACAGGATAGATGGCATAATTCACAGAAGAAATTTGATAGCAAATAAACCAGTTTTTTTGTTTTGTTTTGTTTTTTAAATATGAGGGCTGGGGGATGAAGCAGAGCCATTAAATACTCAACAGGGCTGGGCCAGGATATAGTGGCAGGGCCTAGGTCTCCTAGGTCCACTTCATGCCTTTGCACTTGGGTCCCAGGTCTTTCTTGCTCTGTTGAAGCCAGTCTTTTCCACTTTGCCTGTCCCCTGGGCTGTGTACTCAGTGACACCTGTAACTGGAAGAAGGGTTCCAGTTAGCCTGGCCTCCTCTGTTATAGCTTCCTTAGCTATTCTAAACCTGTTTCCTCATGTGTAAAGTAGAGGTGTAGTTATAATCTCATAGGGTCTCATGATGTTTGAAGAGTATAATAAGATGCTTATTTCATGATTTCCTCTTTCTTTTTCAATACTGGAAATTAAACTGAGAGCCTTATGCATATGAGGCAAGCATTCTACTACTGAGCTACAGCCCTAGCCCAGACATTTACTACATGAAACTCAAGGGTCATGTGATTTTGAATGGTGTTTTCATCTTTGCATAATGTTGTTTATTCTAATTGTGACCACACAGTCTCTACTGTGAGAACACTAAAGACTTTCCCAGTTTTTAAAAATTAGTTAATTTATCTTATTTTTATTTTGTGTGTATGAGTATTTTGCCTACATGTGTATAATTGCACCCCTGTGTGAAATGCCTGCACAGACCAGAAGAAGGTGTCAGATCTCCCTGGGACTGGAATATTAAGGGTGGTTGTTAGCCATCATGTGGGTATTGGGAACGAAGACCGGGTCCTCTACAAGAACAGCTAGTGCTCTTAACTGCTGAACCATCTCTCTAGCCCCACTTTCTCAGTTTTTTTTTTTTAACTGCAGAGTAATACTTTTCAAAAAATATTTGAAAAATAAACTACCCAGTCGCTCCTTGCATAGAGATGAACAAACAATCCAAACCTACGCTTCTCAAACTGTCCATGGGGAGTACTAGCTTTTTTATTCGCAGCTGTCACAGGCAGATACTTTTGCAAATACTGCACACTGGAATGTTGCGATAGTGCCAAGCTCTACAGACGTTTCTAGAGAACATCTGAAGAGGTTCTTGATCCCCCCTTTATAAACTTACCTCGTAATGGACCACTGTCTGTGAACCACTCTTTGAGAAACACTGATCTAAACAAGATTGTCATGGGGAGATCCCAGTTCTGGAATATTTCACTTGCTCACTGCATCCAGGTGGTGGTCTACTAGCTCGGCTTCTGGGAGTTGTCCATCCATGGTTGCATCAGCAGAGCTCCTTGCTGGGTCTTACTATTGGAAAACATTCTAAAAGGGATGGTCTTGTTCAAACTGCATTGTACACTGATCAGCAGAGCTCCTTGCTGGGTCTTACTGTTGGAAAACATTCTAAAAGGGATGGTCTTGTTCAAACTGCATTGTACACTGGCTGGTGCATTTCACCACTAGATTATTGGGCATGGCCTTGGCCATTCCTGTGGTGCACACACCTCTGCGTGTTGTGGAACACTGTCCTCGGGACATGACATGGCCATTGCCCTCTTGGACTCTCTGCAGCTGTGATTACCTGCACCAGAATCACATAAGATTAGGCCCATTAACCTTTGCTCATGGAGGTCAATAGATGGTTGGATGGGTGATGAGCAGGAAGATGAACAGACAGACAGACAGACAGATAAGCAGTTAACAGTTGCTGGGAGAGAGAATTTTCTTAGGTGGTATAGATGCCTATAGTTGCCTATGCTCTTGTTGGCAACCTGAGCTAAACTCACCAGCTCATCAAGCTAAACTTGAGTAGAATCTTTTCTTAGGACTTCTAAGTAGACATTTGTTCATGTCTCCCCAGGAAAAGTTCACACAACACCGAGCTGCAGAGATTCAGGAACCACTGCCTTGGGCTTACTCTGACATACCCTGGTACCAGACCACACCAGGCTTCTCTCATGCCATTACTCTTTAGGAGGTGACCAAAGTACTTTGTATTCCCACAAACTCATCGTCCTGACTGAGTTTGGTTCCAGGAGGGCATAGGAAACCCTTAGCCTCAAACCTGGCACAGGAGGGTGTGGTTGATATCTCCTCAAAAGTGGACATCAGGCTTCTTATTTTCTTCCATAGGCACCAGATCCCCAGGGGCTGCAGGCCTTGCTAGCAGTGAGTCCTCTGTCCTGAAAGACACAGCCAGCCAGGCAGGGGACAGTGAAGAGGCTTTTGACTTCTTTGAGCAGCAAGGCCAAGTGGTGGATGAGCAGCCACCTATCCTGGGCCCAAACACCAAGGATGCTGAGAACTCCATAGAGGAGGAGGAGGAAGAAGAGGCATTGGATCCCCTGGGCATCATGCGGTAGGTCTACATTGTCCAAAATGCCCCCTCTGGCATTTTCTAGGCTTTCTGTAGAACACTCCTCCCTGCTAGGAGTCTGAGAAGACCCTGTGCTTCCCTAGCCACTTGTCTGAAGGTGCAGGGCCTTGATCTGGTGTACTCAAGGGATCTAGCTCTGCTCATCCTCAGCATCACCTATCTTTGTGGCTGAGCTCAGAATCATTTGCCCCTTCCTGGTCACATGGTCTTCCTCATTCTTGGCCCTGTGCAGTTACCCCCGTGATAGCTCCGTAGCCCAGATGCCAGACCCAGCCTACTCAGTCTATCCTGAGAAGTGGGTCCTTCTTCTTGCCTAGTGAGAAGGGATGTGACCTGCTTAATCCTGAGCCTGCCTCACCATCTGTAAAGTAAGATTTCCTTCAGTTCTGCTGTTCCAGGTCTGTTCCAGACCTCCATGATCATATGGCTGGAGGTCACCTGTGACCCACAGATGCTGCAATGAATGGACAGAGTCCCCTTCACATGCACACATGCTCACACACACCTCAACAGGAGAGAAAGAAACAAACTAGCCAGGTACCCTTTCCTTTCCTCCTTTCTGACTGCCTTTATCCAAAACATGAGCTGCTCCTAAGCCCCTACTGCATAGGCCACCCTGTGCTTAGTGTGGGGACAAGGCACAGCTGGATGAAGGGATGCAGAACCAGATACCTGCTTCCACAGCTCCTCCCGTGGTCATGAGCTGGGATCACAATATCTTCCCTAATGGAAACCAGGCCACTTAGCTATCCCAGAACACTTTTCTTCTTGGCCCAAGCAAAGAGAAAGGAATATTTCCTAAGTGCTGGATGTAATACTTTGTACTTCACGTACTGTCTCATCTGTTCCTTGCCTTGCCAGTAACTGATATCCCATTTTATAGAGTAAGGAAGCTGAAGGTGGAATGGTGCTGGGTTAGTGCTGAGTTTGAGGTCCTCTGGAGCCTTGCTGCTGGGGTCCAGATCCTAGCTCCCCCATTTAGCAGCCATGTGTCCTTAGCTTTCTGCCTTTTGCTTCAGTTTTCCTCAGTGAAATGGGCTATTGACAGTACCTACCACATACGGCTCTGAGGAAGATTATCCAAGATGCAGAAATGTGAACATTAACTATCATCACAGACCCCACTTTCTATTAGAGCCTGACCACAAGCCAGGGCACCTTCTTCCTTCTGTGAAGAATGGATGTTTGGATTTACAGCCAATGTCAGTGTGCAAACAAGGGATACCTGCTCTAGAAAGAAACTAGAGCCACCAAGAAATTGGGCAGAGGCGAGTTCTGTGCAATGACATGCAAAATGAGTCCCCCAAATGCTGCCCTCTCTGCACAGGCCCTCTTCCCCAGGTGGGATATGTGAATAGTGGGCCTCATGGCTGTGAAATCACCACAGAAGAGATGAGGCCTCACAGACACTTAGGGGGCTACAGCAGACCCAGGGTAATCAGCGTCCTCCTAGTGGCCTCTAGCCACTGAGGGTCAGGTCCCCAAGGGACGGGCAGAGAAGATGCTGGGGTGATACAGGGAAAAACCTATTATAGCCACTCCTTATCAGCCTTGTCCCGCCCTGGGGCCCTGCCTGGGCTTTATTTTGGTAAGGATAAGGCATTGTTTGAACTCACATTCTCTGTAGTTCTAAGTAACCACAAGTACCAAGCTGAATTGAACTTCTGAGGCTGCACCAGCCTTTGGCTGAACAACCCACTTAGCAAAGTGGCTCCTTTTTTGGGTAGGAAAATGCTATTTGGGTTGGCAAGTGCTGCTTTGAATTTCTTGCTCTAGTAGCAGAGTCTGGGGAAAGGGGTGTCAGTGGCCTGGGTCACTTGCCTTTGGAGCTCTTGCTCTGGGGAACTGGCCCCTGGATTCTGGGAAAACAGCACCAAAGGGACCCCCCCCCCATTTCCTGCCAGTTTTTCTTTGAAGGACCCATGTGATACTAGTTGGTATTATCAGCTCTATCAGGAATAATAATGTTTTTCAAGAGCTTTTTTAATGCCAGGAACTGAGCTAATTGGCATTTGCTAACAGGAGCTCATGTTACCTCTGAGACAACACTTCCAAAACTGTTTGGCTGTGACCCATAGTAAACATATTGTATGTCAGGACACACATGTATAGACTTCATATAAAATATAAAACCAAACCAGGATCAAGAATGCATAAAACCTCAGTGTACTGTGTGCTGATGTTTTCTGTCCCACTTCATTTTGTGAAAAGGTTATAGCATGCCAAACTGCTTTTGGGGCCCATTGTGGGCACGGGGTGGAAAATAGAGTGCTGGGAGGCTGATGCTGGCATTGCTTTTGTTTTCTGTATCAGGAAACTAGAGTCCAGGGTCAGGTGACTCCTCATTCCTTCAGCCACATATAGCAGAGCCAGGAGCTGAGGCCACTTACAGTCAATCTTTTGGCAATGTGGGAAGGAGGTAGGGAGGGCTTTTACACATGGGGAAGTCAAAGCTACATCTGAGCAGGGACTTTGCCAAAACATGGTACGTGACAACAGAGCCTTGAAGTCAGGTTTCTCTCTTGGCCTCTCATGGACACAAGGGCTGCCCACCTCATCCTTTGGTTAGAGAGTTGCTTATCCTCAGGAGGTTTCTGCATGCTTCGGTTCCTCTGCACACCAGCGGCCCTGGCTCCCCAACTTCTATCCAGGCCTGACTGGCCCTTCCTGGATGCCTTGCCTCAGGCCTTCCCTGCATGGCCACAGGGGGGTGTGCTGGCTCCACTGCAGGACTGCCTGCAATGTTGGGAACAATTTGGCACAAAGCTGGAGCCAGACTGGCCTGACTTTTCTTTGTCTTTTCAGCCTGTCTGACTAGGGAAAAGTCAGCCTCATTATACCATTAGGGAGCACAGAAAAGCCCTCACCCCACCCAGCCCAACACCGCCACTCTTCTTATTTTCTCTGACCCTGTCCCAGCACCATCCACGTAACTGCAGACATAGTGCACATGCCATTTCACACACTGCTTTTTCGTTTACTGTCTTTCTCAAGCCACTCTGTCACAGTTTCCATATTTAACACTCTATTTTAGTGTCTTCATAGCTCTGAGAAAATTGAGGTTCTGCCACTCTAGTTCTGCCTTCTGCTGGAAACATTTTTCACTGTGACTCAAAAAATACAATAATTGAATAGTTGAAACACAGGCCAAAGTCCTTTCCCTAGAAATGCAGACACTCTGTAAGAGTCACACCTTATCCCCAACAGGATTATATCAGCCACTCTATGATTTGCTTCTTCCCACTTGTGTGCTAAGTCTTTCCAGATCAATGATGCAGCTCCCCAGCTCTGACCCGGCCCCTCTGGTCCCAGTACTGTAGGTGACACTGCTAGGCCCCTGCTTGTGAACATTGTTGTGTCTTCCATCGGCTTCCATAGGCTTCCACAGGCCGCAACTTAAGAATTCATGAGTATGAGATTTCATCCCGTTACATTTTTCCTCTAGAATCAAGCCCCACAGCCAGGTCCCTTAATGTTCTGCACAGGGCTTTGATTGGACTGGTAAAGGCTCCTTAAGGGCTAGGCAACCACCCTGTTGGAGGCCCCCCTGCTTTTCTACCCTGCCCATTACACAGCTCCTGCCTGCACCTCTCCTCCAGCCTGCTAGTCACAGAAAGCCCCGTCTAGGCCCCAGGTCTCAAGGACTCATCTGGCTCCTATACCTGCCTGTCTTTGAACCTGGCCTCTCCGGCTCTGGAAGGGGAGTCCTATGCCCTGGCCTCAAGTGGAGAAGAGGGACCTTTCCTTGCATACTGTTTCATCATAACTTTTCTATAGATTTTGCTTCATTTTCCATGAAATAACTACAGTACGTAATATAAAAATAATACTTCCTATATTTGGATGAAATTTATGCTCTAGGATGGCCCTCCTTTTCTTTTAAATTATTTTTGAATGTCCCTAGCATGCTGCACGTGTCCCCAGATTTGTTAACCCAACACTTAAAATCCACAGTAGGAGCTCTGGGGATAGGGTGGCCTCAGCTGTGCCCCCCGAGCAACCCTGGAATGCCCTCTTTTAAAAATATAGCATTATCATTACTTCTGTCTTAGGGACTTTGAGCCCAGACACCCAGGCTTTCATTGAGGCTGTGTATCGGTGTGGAACCAGGTGGGGATGCAGATTCTCAGGCCCCAGACTCTGAGTTAACAAAATCATGTTCACACTCACACTGCAGCAGCCCAGGCACAGCAGTTCACAGGCAGATGAGAGATGCCCTTGTCACTACACTGGGTACAGAGAAGAGGGATGAACAGAGCAGGCCCTCCTTAACTCTAACCCACATCCTACTGCTCTTCTTCACTCTCTGCTGCCCAACTCCCACTGGAGGAGCTCTCTGAGTACCTGTCAAGGCAGTGGCAACCTCCAGTGGTACTTCTGTGGTCCCTGGCCAGCCCTAAAGTAGTGGTGAGGGAGGCAGAGATCAAGACATGCAGCTGCCCTCACCCTGGAGTATAGTATCCCCAGATAGTATGTTTCCAGGCACTTGCAGCTCCTAGTCCAGTCTCAGTGAAGGGACTCCAGGGACCATGCCTAACACTGTGGTTTCTGCCATTTTACTTCAATAGCAAAGTCTTCTGCTTAAGAGAAACGTCATACAGACCCCTAATGTAAAAAACAGATCCAAGTAGAATTGCTTTCATTGAGACAGGAGTGGGAACTAAATCTTTGTCCCCTGAAGTGGCGCTACATAGCTTTGGGGAAGATTGGGGCCCCTTATGGCATGGTTTGAAAAACACTGGGAATGCTGGGACCCCAAGATGCATGGCCACCCCAGAGCACAGTTCAAGATTCAAATTCCAGCTTTGAAGGCAGGACACAGGCAGGCTGTTGAACTGTGAGCCAGAGCTTCTTCCATTGTGAAACAGGGCAGGGTTTCCAAAGTAGAGGGGCCTCTAACGGGGGTAGGAGGGTTTTTAGTCTTCAAGGAGCTTTTTACCAGCCTCACCAAAGCTCCCAAGGATCAAGTCTAGGCCTGAATC